TGTTTCAGCTCCACTCTGCAGTGGCAGATTTTGCCCTGGCAGAGAGGCAGAGATGACTTCCCTGTATCATCAGAAAACACAAGCCCCAAAGCAGCCCCAGCTTTTCCAACATCCAGCAGGTCTGGCTTTGGCAGCTGATTTCATGGACTGATCTAGTTAGTGGGAAAATAAAGACATGCAAATGCATGTTTCCTTCTCTGAGGATTCACACAAGCTTGACAGGCCTCTTGGAAGAGGGATTTTGCTATTCTAACTAACTCTACTCTTTACAAGGATTATTACATAAAAGGCATCTCTGCAGTGCTTGTTTGTCCCTTAAGCACAGCTGCCATAAAACAAAACTCATCAAGCTTTTTGTCCTGTTGTTGAAAACAATGGTATTTGGAAGAAAAGAAAGGAAATCCCCCAGGTGCTCTTCAGGGAAGGAAACAAACATTTGGGATCCCCTATTCAACACAGATACATTAAGATGCCTCCACAAATGTATTGAGATAAAAATGCCTTTTTGGGCACACAGGAGCCGCCTGCAGCTTTGTCTCTCTGCAGTCTGAAAATTTCAGGTTCCCTTATGTGGAAATAGGAAAACATTCCTGGTGAAATCTGAAGAAAGAGAAGTGTCATCCCTTTGCTAAGCCTCTGCTCGTTGGATACTCAAGTCAATGCATAAATGCTGGGCCCATCCCAGAAAGTGGCAGGAAACAAAACTGGAGGTTTTGGCAGGCTCTCCCCATCACCAGGCTCCAGCTTGGTGATATGGAGAAAGTGGCTTGGCTTATGAACAAATATGGTCACTAAGTGTTTCAGCAGCACGGCACAAGAAGCAGCAGGGACTCTGTGCCTTTAAACCATCCTCTCCAGGTTGCAGGCAAGTTTCCCTGTGAGAAGAATGGGGGTACACTTCTTCTCTCAAAACCACTATTTTAGAAACTTTGTTTGGTTTGAGTTTCTTTCCTTCATTGCTGGAAAGATAACACCAGTTCTGAGGTGCTTTTTTCCTGTTATTAGGGCCATCTACACAGCCAAAAGAGCTGGAACGATAACCCAAAGCAAAATGTTGCCTGAGAATGGAGATTGTTTGCATGGGGTAAGGCTTGAATTGCCTCACTGATGCAACCAAACCTAGAGCTGATGCTGATGTGCTGCAGGGACATTTCTAGAAGGGGGCCACGGTGGAAGTACTTGCAGCAGATGGCAATGGCATTTTGTCCAATGGCACAGAGAACATGGGACAGGTGAGAAAGAGAGCAGGATCAGAGAGTATTTGCTCCTTACCGAGAGAGAACCTCTACTGTCATGAGGGACTTGTCGTTCCACCATTTCAATTCCCACAATTCCAAAGGACCATATGTCCACTTTGGGGCCATATGGTAGACACAGCACCACTTCAGGTGCCATCCACCAAGGAATCCCGGCCACCGAGCGACGATGACTTTGCTCAGGGGTGAGCTGAGCAGAAAGGCCAAAATCAGCTGAGGAGAAAGCAAAATACTAGTTTTATTTGGATCCTGTCAATTAGGAAACCAAGCTAAAGAATTGCCCAGTAGAAGTTGGAGAATGTGCTGTTGCATTTCCTGGACAGCAGTCCCTGCTCTGTTTCCATGGGGTTTATCCAAGGAAATATGGCACTGGCTACTTAAAACATCCCCACAGTTTTTACACTTCCTCCAGCAGCACTTTTTGTTGCCCTGAAGGTTTAGATTGTAGCTCCCTCACTCTGGAAGGGACACACACAAACACACACACACACAGCAATACCACTCTTGACTGCTTGTGGTACCTTGTCATACCTCTGTGCACATCACAGCTCTGCCTTCAGCTCACAGCAGGGGCACCTGCACTGCCAGCAGCACCATTTTTGGGGAACTGGCAGTCACTGAAAGCAGCCCCACACCCCACATCCCTGGGAGGCTGAACCTCACCAAGAATACACTGACCCAGCTTGACAGAGCCGTCCGTTCTGAGAAGGATGTTGCAGCTCTTCACATCTCGATGGATCACATGGTTGGAGTGAAGAAAATCCAGTCCTTGCAGGCACTGAGAGAAAAAACAGAAACAGGGGGGCAAAAATGAGTGATGTGATTTCATCACACAAGCAAGGAAACAGCTGTAAAAATTCCCTTTGCAGGGGAATGGGGAGTAATGGCAGAACACAGTGCCACTGAGAGGAAGAGCCTGCTGCTGCAACAGCAGCAGAGCAGGACCTTTGTCAGGAAAGGCATGGCAGCTTTTACAACAGCAGCAGCAACTGCTGTTGTAGACTGTCCCCTGCAAACCAGGCAGAGTGACTGCAGCTGACAACTGCAATCTCTCCTTCAGACATGTAAGTCTTGCTGACGACATCAGTCAGAGTGCCTCCGTCCATGTACTCCATCACCAGCCAGAGTTCCTCATGCACAAGGTAGCTGAAAGAAGAAAGAAACAAGGCCATGCAGATGAACATGCATGACTACTTGTTTTTTGCTTGTTGCTTGTTTCTGGGTCCATTTGAGACAAGGACAGAATAAAAGGAAAATTGCCTCTGGACTGTGCAGTGTTTGCAGTCTGTGCTGTCTCAAGGAGAAAGGCATGTATGTAACAGCCCAGATAAAAAAGCTGCCATGCATGGTATTTCTGGAAATAAGCACCTAGTCTTCCTGGCATGCACAGCAATGGGAAAGAGGGGTAACAATCCAAGGGAAATCCTCTCTAGGATGGATCATCGGCATTAAAGAAACTTGAAAAACTCAATCCCAAGAAAATGCAGATGCAATGAACTTACAGGGTATTGAATTATTAAGAT